TCTTGTTCAAAAGATTGCAAACCTTATTGTTGACAGAATGGGAGGTCCTGTTAGTGATGCAGAAGACATGTCTAGGAGGTGGAAAGCAAGGAGTTACGATTTGCAAGTTTTTCTGAATACAATCATCCTTCCGATTGGCTGTCTTGATGTTGGACATTCGCGTCATAGGGCCTTGCTCTTTAAGGTTGTAAGAGCTCCCCTTCTCTTTATGCTCGTACTGTTTTCTGACCTTGGCAAAAAAATATTCCCTTTACTTGTTCAACCAGTTTTATTGACGGAACCAAATTAGCAACAATAGGTGAAGTAGTACCTTCTCTGCAATCTATTGCATATTGATTAAAGTATTATCTTATTTCTGGTAAAATATATATTGATCAACAATTTTACTTGGATACACAAGTCTTTATTTATACTATATGGTCTGCATAGCATTTGGTTTAAAATTTAAATTCTGCACATCTAGGTACTTGCTGATAGGATCAACCTCCCATGTAAGCTAGTCAAAGGGAGTTATTATACTGGCACTGATGATGGAGCTGTGAACTTGATAAAATTGGATAATGGAAGGTAGTAACTTCCCTGAATGTCTGTGCTTGCTTTTATGCTGGTTTTGGTAACTTCATGTCATGTAATTAATCTTCTTCGGGTCGTATGAGTATGATGAGTTTCATCTCCTTTAATGTTTTCAAGATGTCATTCAAAAACTTCCAATTCTAATCTCGCACAGGATACTTCATGTCATATCATTCCTATTTCAAATTTCGCTTATTTACATGCTGCAGTTTTTGTTTGTTGGTGCAATTAACTTTACTACAGCATCCTTTAAAGAAGAATCTAAACTCATCTAAGATTTCCTGCTCATTCTAGTTGGCACATTTGTCAATCTTCTATTCAATCAAATTGCTGTTTCCATATGAAAACAAATTTCTTCCTATTTCATTTCAAGTCTTGTAATTATTTTTGCATTCAATAATTATCCTATTTTGGTTTTGTTCAGAAAAATCATCTAGGTCCATAAGTATTCAAATAAAGACAAAATTGATGAAATTGGTGCTGTGAGTTTATGCCGATTTTTGAATTGATGCAGCGAGCACATAATTGATTTAATGGGGGCTCCAGGCACTCTAATTCCTGCTGATGCACCCTGTGGTCATGTTCGAAATTTTGGGTTAGATACAAGGAGTATTGCCTCTGCCACGGGAATTGCCAAAAGCTCATTGACAGAGTTGGACGAAGGAGTGCAGTTATTTGGCGATGTTTTGTGCAAAGACAGCGTAAATTATTTTCCTGAAGGGTTGGCAGCCCAACAGCTGAAAATGGACCCTACTGTTTCTAATCCTGGATGTAATTCATCTTCTATTACCTTAGGAGAAGAATATCTTCTTGTTAAAGGCAGAACTGATGAAGTGATCCAAAATAATGGCATTGCAGTTGGTGGTGGCCTTGTGCAGTTATCTGGACAGAAATATGAATCTTCATCAGAACTGATGGAAGTAGCTTGCAGTAATGACCAGTCTAATTCTAGCAAGGTGCACAAGTTACCAATTGACCCTGTGTTGAATGGGGTTTCCGGAATTTTGTGGGAGGATCTTCAGATTGGCGAACGTATTGGTATAGGTAAAGTTCAAAATCATTAGATTTATTTCTTTCATTGAAGGTTGAAATCTGTTCTGACATTAGATTAAGGTGTATTTGTGTGGCTGTAGTGTGTATTTTTCTTTTATTATATTTTTGAGAATGGATGTTGATAACATGCATTTAAGTAGCTCAGCTTGAAATATAAAAATTAAGATATTAAGATAGTATGTATAATGTTTCTGTTGTTCAAATTATCACTTCATCCTTGAATTTGTTCAAGTAATCAACCACTTTCTCTTAGTTCATAATATTGGTCGTGAATGTTCTTTTCTGTAGTCAAAGCTGGTAACTGTCCTGAGAATTCTTTCGGGGCCAGCTGCTTCAACAAATAGTAGAAGTGGTTAAGAAATTATGTGTTTCCAATGACGACACATGTTGAGATCAGTTCTAGCATGGGGCCGGCTTTGTTAAGGAAATAATTTCATTGTATATTGGTTTGCCCTTAGTTGTTGCAAGGTTTTGTAATTGCATTGGATGGCTAATCTTCTGTAGTCATCTCATTTTCTTCTGTTTGACGGATTTTTCATCCTCTGTCGGTGCATTTTTTTTTACTTCTCTTTATAATTTTTTTCTTAATCTTGGATTTCTTTAGATGTACTAATTCTGGTATTTAACATAAGAAGAAATGTATGAAGTTTTCCTCAATGTGAAAACTTTTTATTGTACAATGGTTCGCCTCATCGATTTTATTTGGTGAAAAAACAGGCATTTACCTCTATGGGTTTTATATATTTAAATATTGCTTGTACTTCTGAATGAAGTCCGTTTTCGTATTAGAGGATGGTTAACAAGCCACATACATGCTAGATAGACAGTCAGTTAGTCAGTGATGTTGTCTTTTTCTACTCCTAGGCTTCCATTACTTTTTAATTGCTATGAGTTGAATGGCTTCTTTTAAAAAACTATGGTCTTAGCTTGAGTTTGATAGCCTTTCTAAACTGAACATATTCAATTTCCTTCCATATCTTGTAGGGTCATATGGTGAAGTCTACCGAGCAGAATGGAATGGCACAGTAAGCTTTATATTCATGCATTATCAGATCTGTTTATAATTTCTTTGAAGCAAAAAACTTTACAAGCATTAGATTATTCAAGCATCTTTCTGGTGCACTTCAAGCCTCGTATGTAGTTTTTTGTCCTGCTTACTGAATGTTATAGGCAGATATTTATTGTACCGCTTAATGTATTATAGTCTGTGAAATATTTGGACCACCTAAGATCTACACAATCATTTTAGTTTCAAATTGCCATGGTCAGGCTATGTCTTTGAGTTCCTACCCATCTCTATCTATTAGTATCGATCTTTGGAGGAGTTGAGTAGAGCTTCGTGTGTCTTTGCTGATATACAACAATAGCAACAACTAACTCTTAGTTCCAGTGAACTCGGTGTCGAATGCATTCTAGTCATCTGAGCCACCTCTTCTGTAGCATTTAACTTAACCAAAAATTTTGCCACCACATCAGGCATAGCTCATTTTGGTGTTGCTCTCTTTGAATCTGACTGATATTTTGTTGTGCTTGCACATCTTCCCTTGCATAGAACATCCTTGACCTGTGCTGATATTAAGACATGTCACAGTTGATTCCGAATTACTTTGATAAAATAATATTATTTCATGACAGGAAGTCGCTGTCAAAAAATTAATGAAACAAGACATTTCAGGCAATGCCCTCGCACAATTTAAATGCGAGGTAAGTGCTAATTTATGTCATTTTGTCATATGCACTGTACCTTGGGAACAATATGGTAAACATTGATACTCAAACTCTGTTCACCGTCGTTTCATTTTATGCAGGTTGATATAATGTTGAGGCTGAGACATCCAAATGTTGTTCTTTTCATGGGAGCTGTAACAATTCCCCCGAATCTGTCCATATTGACAGAGTTTTTACCAAGGTTTTACCTCAATGCCTCATGTTACTAAAATCAGGCTAGGATGGTTTTGGCTGTCTTCGCATATTCTAAACTCCCATATAATAATGGCTTCTGTCCCTGTATCTGACAAGTAGCCCAGCTTGCATGCCTACGCCCTTCGGATGGTTAACTGGTTTGGGTGCTTCGACTGTGGGATACCTTTATGCGTTATCTACTTTATGAGTTCTTGTTCTCTTTTCCTCATTTTCCCTGTTGTGTGAGATGAGTTGAGTTGTTGATTCTCTTCTCTTTAAGGGAAGCAAGCTATTCCACAGAATCAGGTCTTTGTTGATTCTACTGCCTTTTTATGAAGGACTCGAGTTTGAGATATCCTGTGAAAACATGACATCTGCATGATCTATTGGGGCTTCTTTTGCACTATAAATACAACGCAAGTTGATGTTATGTTTCTGTTTGTTCTCATTCTACTATAGTTGTTCATAACTTTTTCTTCTATATGCAGGGGTAGTTTATATAAGCTTATTCACCGTCCAAATATCCAAATTGATGAAAAAAGGCGATTAAGAATGGCTCTTGATGTGGTATTAGTTGGATAATTTTGTTCTCTTTTACTTCAGTTATCAGGTTCCATTCCCATCTGTTTGTATAACATTTTCTTGCAGGCCAAGGGAATGAATTACTTGCACACGAGCCAACCTATCATTGTGCATCGTGATTTGAAGACTCCAAACCTCCTCGTTGATAAGAATTGGGTTGTTAAGGTTAGGTCTAATGATTAATATTAGAACATATTAGGTATGACACAGATTCTTCCTTTTCTTTCCACTGATTTATGTTCTCATGCGAGGCTTGCTAGGTTTGTGATTTTGGGATGTCAAGGTTGCAGCATCACACTTTTCTATCTTCGAAGTCAGCTGCTGGAACGGTAATGCATGTTAGACTTGGGTTATCAATTCCTTATTCTGTGTGCTTACCCTTCTTCCCCTCTTGAAAAAAAAAAGAAAAAAGAAAAGGATGTGTGAAATAAAAATGAAAGAACTATAACTGACAGCAACAGTAAATGACCTGGCTATTGCTGTCTAATAAGCAGGCTGAGTGGATGGCACCAGAGGTTCTAAGGAATGAACCGTCCAATGAGAAGTGAGTTGAACATGATGTGTACTTTAAACATTTGGAAGAACAATATTTTTCTTGATATTTCCATTTAGAATCTTTTTGATAATTGGCTTCTCCTGAGCAGATCTGATGTATATAGCTTTGGAGTAATATTATGGGAGTTGGCAACTTTACGAGTTCCATGGACGGAAATGAATTCGATGCAGGTTGTTGGAGCTGTTGGATTCCAGGGTAGACACCTTGATATTCCACCTACAGTGGATCCATTGGTTGCGGGGATAATAAGTGACTGTTGGCATCGGTTAGTTTCTACCTATCAGTCTCAAATACTTGACTGTAAAGCATTGTGTTCCTGTCCGTGCTTGAACTGCATGTTCTGGTGTGCAGTATTATATTGTTGTGTCTAATCCACGTATGGAAGATAACAGAAATGTGCTATTAGTTTCTTTATGAAATATAATTTGTGATGTTCCTCTTCAGCAGAAATCCACAGGCACGCCCTTCGTTTGGTCAGATTATCACCCGCCTCAAGTGTTTGCAGTGTCTAAGCATACAGGAAACAAACTCATGTAAATCCCCAGTGATGATGTAACAATAATTGAGAACTCGTGTAGATGCAGAGTGATACGCAAGTTGTTGGATTGGGAATTGTTTGTTGATTTCAAGTTTGGACTTAGCACTGAACAGAGCAAATATCCTGTGTGTCGACAGCTCCACAAAGTGTGGTTGGGGACACCATTGGAGTACTAGCAAAGCTGGTAATAGTAATTTGTGCATGAAGTCCTGAAATGTAGAGAGAAAATTATAAGAAGGCGTTTTCTTGTTAGGTTTAGGATTGATAAAATATAGTTTGTGCCATTCATTTGTAAGAATGTCTTCTTAATTTTACAAAAGAAAAGGTGACTTTTGGGGAATTTGTTGAGATCGTCCAGGGAGCAAATGTAAAAAAATTGGTCTCTACAGGTTGTGCCAAGCTGAGAACTCATAAAAGTGAGAAATATTTGTCAATTTTTATCTTCTCTTTTCTTGTTTTACGTTTTCATGGTTGCCAAAGTTTTTGAGTGGAGACACACTAAGAAGATCATATTTTATGTCAGCAACTCTGTGGCTCAAGAATTGTATTTGTATTTGAAGATTGAAAGATTTAGTGTACGACAATGAGGCTGGAAATTTTTCCTTTTAATTTGTCCTAGAGAAAATTGAACCATTAATCAGGCCTGTTAGAGTTGTAACAACTTGGTCACTATGCACTAACCTTCTTTTGAAATCGCATCATGAAGCTTGTATTCTACTATTCACAATAACCTTCCTTTTAAATGGCATCATGAAGTTTATAATAGAGCTAGCCATGGTTCAGTTCGGACATTTAAGTAAGAGAAATCATCGGATTCAAATTTAATTATTGAACTGTTTGGGTTTGGTTCTTGAGTTTTGCATAATAATTAATTATTTTTAATATTTACAATGATGTTACATTAATTTAACTAATGATATACTCAATTTTAACTCTTACATAATAACGTAATTTAATCTCGAGATACCTTTTGCACCTCTATGTTGAGTTATTCATAGATTTAACTATTACAATCAAAAGAAGTGGAAGATAACAAGCTCAAAATAATCAGAACTGGCGCAGGCAAGCTTTCAATTCAATTTCTCTAGAATTTGGCAAAAATGGCACTAAGATAGAATAAGTCATTTGGGTAAAATTTATGTTAATTTGATTAAGTTGGATTTGAGCTTGGACAAAAAATTAGAAATAAGAAAATCATATTTTGGGTTTAGTATAAATTAATTAGTCAACAAATTTATTTAAAAAAAAGTAAAATGATTTGACTCATTTCGTTTCTTATTTGATTTTTCGATTTTTGATTCAGATATCCATTTGGATATTTCACTTAAAAAAAATGGCTTGATTCAGGTCAAGTTCGATTAGTTCAAAAATTTTGTCCAGCCACTAGTTTAGAATGTTGTATTTTCGTTTTGATGACTTTTATAATACTACTGTCCAAAATAAAATAAACAGAGAAGGGGGGCGTGGGTGCGATTATCTGTGGGCACCTCAAACATCCCATAAAAATTGTGTGGAGAACGGTAACATGGTGCAAGAAACGCATCACAACTATTCTCCATTAGCCTAATGCAATTCATTCCGTACATATAATCAAGCGTAGAAAACATGAAAACTTGTATGAAAACAATGATACATGCACGAAAATAGCACAATCGAATGTATGTACAATTGGAAAAAACCGCCAGATGTATTCGGAAAAATTAATGAGATCCCAGGATAGTCTGAAGGAGTGGTTGCCACCATGTCTATATCTCGAAGCAGCCCAACAGGGCATTAGAGAAGCATCTGGGTATGAATTTAAGGAATCCCTGATGCAATCATCTCTTCACTCAGATCCCTAGATAATATCTGGTCCGAGAAATGATTTGCAAACTCTCAATCTTCGATCTCGGTGTGGAAAACAAAACTGGGGAAAGCAGTAGTGACGTCCCTGAAAGATAATAAAATCAAAGGCAGAGTGAAACAATGTCAGAGATTCTAGTGAAAAGAACATCCTTATGACATAAATCCCTGGAAGATTATGAAATAATAGGAGCAAATATTTTAGATAAGAAGAACATGCTTATAACATTGTGGTCATATTGTTACATAGATGTTTTCTTTTGTGAAGATTAGCAGCTGAAATACACAGGTGGTCACTAAACTTTTAGCAAAATTTCAAGTCACTGTACTTCATTTTGTTTCAAGTTGGTTACTCACCTGTCTCAGATACTTGACTGTAAAGCATTGTGTTCCTGTCCGTGCTTGAACTGCATGTTCTGGTGTGCAGTATTATATCATTGCGTCTAATCCATGTATGGAAGATAACAGAAATGTGCAATTAGTTTCTTTATGAAATATAATTTGTGATGTTCCTCTTCAGCAGAAATCCACAGGCACGCCCTTCGTTTGGCCAGATTATCACCCGCCTCAAGTGTTTGCAATGTCTAAGCATACAGGAAACAAACTCATGTAAATCCCCAGTGATGATGTAACAATATTTGAGAACTCGTGTAGATGCAGAGTGATACGCAAGTTGTTGGATTGGGAATTGTTTGTTGATTTCAAGTTTGGACTTAGCACTGAACAGAGGAAATATCCTGTGTGTCGACAGCTCCACAAAGTGTGGTTGGGGACACCATTGGAGTACTAGCAAAGCTGGTAATGGTAATTTGTGCATGAAGTCCTGAAATGTAGAGAAAAAATTATAAAAAGGCGTTTTCTGGTTAGGTTTAGGATTGATAAAATATACTTTGTGCCATTCATTTGTAAGAATGTCTCCTTAATTTTACAAAAGAAAATGTGACTTTTGGGGAATTTGTTGAGATCGTCAAGGGAGCAAATGTAAAAAAAAATTGGTCTCTACAGGTTGTGCCAAGCTGAGAACTCATAAAAGTGAGAAATATTTGTCAATTTTTATCCTCTTTTCTTGTTTACGTTTTCATGGTTGCCAAAGTTTTGAGTGGAGACACACTAAGAAGATCGTATTTTATGTCAGCAACTCTGTGGCTCAAGAATTGTACTTGTATTTGAAGAATGAAAGATTTAAAGTATGACAATGAGGTTGGAAATTTTTCCTTTTAATTTGTCCTAGAGAAAATTGAACCATTAATCAGGCCTGTTAGTGTTGTAACAACTTGGTCACTATTCACTAACCTTGGTTTTAACTTGCATCATGAAGTTTGTATTCTACTATTCACAATATCCTTGTTTTTAAATGGCATCATGAAGTTTAGAATATAGCTGGCGATGGTTCAGTTCGGATATCTAAGTAAGTGAAATCATCAGATTCAAATTTAATTATTGAACTGTTTGGGTTCGGTTCTTGAGTTTTGTATAATAATTAATTTTTTTTAATATTTACAACAACGTTACATTAATTTAATTAATGACATATTCAATTTTAGCTCTTACATAATAACGTAGTTCACTCTCGAGATATTTTTTGCACCTCTTTGTTGAGTTATTCATAGATTTAACTATTAAAATCAAAAGAAGTGGAAGATAGCAAGCTCAAAATAATCAAAATAGATGATGACAAGTTTTCAATTCGATTTCTCCAGAATGTGGCAGAAATGGCACTACAGTAAAATAAGATATTTGGGTAAAACTTATGTCAATTTGATTAAGTTAGTTTGAGTTTGGACGAAAAATTAAAAATAGGAAAATCATATTTTGGGTTTAGTATAAATTAATTAGTTAACAAATTTATTTTCAAAAAAGTAAAATGATTTGACTCATTTCGTTTCTTATTTGATTTTTCGATTTTTGATTCAGATATCCATTTGGATAATTTCACTTTAAAAAAATGGCTTGATTCAAGTCAAGTTCGATTGGTTCGAAAATTTTGTCTAGCCACTAGTTTAGCCCTTGTTTGTTTCCTATTCTTTCCCCATTAAAGTGAAAAATATGACCGTTATCCATCACATCAAGTCACCAAATTTAAATTTCTATCTCTTGTGTGGGACCCATAATGGCTATATTTTTCATTCTCATTTTTACCAAAATGGAAAACAAACGGCGCCTTAGAATGTTGTATTTTCGTTTTGATGACTTTTATAATATTACTGTCCAAAATAAAATAAACAGAGAAGGGGTGCGTGGGTGCGATTATCCGTGGGCACCTCAAACATCCCATAAAAATTGTATGGGGAACGGTAACATGGTGCAAGAAACACGTCACAACTATTCTCCATTAGCCTAATGCAATTCATTCTGTCCATATAATCAAGCGTAGAAAACATGAAATCTTGTATGAAAACAATGATACATGCACGAAAATAACACGATTGAATGTATGTACAATTGGAAAAAACCGACAGATGTATTGGAAAAATTAATGAGATCCCAGGATAGTCTGAAGGAGCGGTTGCCACCATGTCTATATCTCGGAGCTGCCCAACAGGGCATTAGAGAAGCATCTGGGTATGAATTTAAGGAATCCCTGATGCAATCATCTCCACTCAGATCTCTAGATAATATCTGGTCCGAGAAATGATTTGCAAACTCTCAATCTTCGATCTCGGTGTGGAAAACAAAACTGGGGAAAGCAGTAGTGACGTCCCTGAAAGATAATAAAATCAAAGGCAGTGTGAAACATTGTCAGAGATTCTAGTGAAAAGAACATCCTTATGACATAAATCCCTGGAAGATTATGAAATAATAGGCGCAAATATTTTAGATAAGAAGAACATGCTTATAACATTGTGGTCATATTGTTACATAGATGTTTTCTTTTGTGAAGATTGGCAGCTGAAATACACAGGTGGTCACTAAACTTTTAGCAAAATTTCAAGTCACTGTACTTCATTTTGTTTCAAGTTGGTTACTCAAGTTAAATGCTCATTCTAATTTGGTCACTCAGTCCATGTCCATTAATTTGACTATTTGGAAATGCTACATGGCACAGTGGCTGTAGTTGACCAAACTGTAACCGAAGGTTCAAGTTCAGCAAGCAAATTTGAAGTTCAATGACCAACTACGAACAATATGAAGTTGAGTAACCCACACGAAATTTCGTTAGAAGTCCAGTGACTGATAGTGTTTTCAACCCAAGGATTGGCTATTGAAACAAAAGGAAATTTAGGACGCAGCACTAACTGTGAATTTATATTTCTACTCTAATACTTATTTGTTTGGGAAAAGAGAACGAGCGTGAGAAATCAACCCAATACCCAGATCACTAAATACTGCAAACAAACAGGAAGAAAATGACTAACTTCAAGCAGGCTAAAGTCATGTATCTCAAAAGTGATGGGCGTTGCATTACAAAAGACTTCCAGTCTTCTTTACTAATCTTGCCATCCTTGTCAGCATCAGCATCAGCAAATGTCTGTTAAATGACCAAGATTGCACAATGAACATATAATTCATATACAAAGAAATAACTAAGGAAAAAATGGGTTTCCAGTCAGACGAAGCCATTACGTTGTCAATTATTTGCTCGAGAAGATCATCAGAAAGTTTCAAGTCGGATTCCATCAGAATTGCGATCACCATCTGCTTGACCTGAAGCCAAAGTCATTTTCCATAAGCACATAAAATGCATATATGGAATTATAGAATTCATAAAAGGACTAGATTCGGTAGAGTCTCAACTTTCAACAAATTTACTACCTATAAGCGCAGAAGTTAAATTGGGCAACTTATGACACATTGCCCGTTTTGTCATACTACATATCTTTTCCTATGGATCGTTCTTTAATATATACAACCTCAATACCCAAGTTTCATCTAACCTGTCAAATTTGACAGACTTACTGCCTTAAGGGGGAAAAACGATTGTACAACTGAGAAAGAAGGAAGTGCCCATTTTTCCATAATCCAGATTCTTTGCATTGTGATTTCGAGTAACTCCATTTCATTTTGGAATATAAACTAGTCAAATACCCACTTCATCTGATTGTTAAACAGGCAGATTAGGTGTGAATGTTCTGTAATAGCAGAATGAATCTTGTAACCCCGGAATATGCAGCACAGATGGAACACAACAAGTGGCCAAGACAGTATCTCATCCCCCAACCCCAACCCCAACCCAAAAAAGAACCCGAATTGTTTTCTTTAAAAAAAATAAAGAACACGAAGAAGAAGAAGAAGAAGTGAAATAGTAAAATTTACATTATTATGCAACCTTCCAGTTATCATTACTATAAGATTTAGATTAACATTTGCAACACGATATACTCACTTCTTCTCGCTCAATGAACCCAGTTTGTCTGAGATCATAAAGCTTAAAGGCAACTGCAAAACAGAAAAAAGTTCATCCAAATTAGCTACTCCATGAAGTAAACCACAATTTTTAGAGCCAAAATAATTATTATTGATCACTTACAATCTATTTTGTCTTCCATAGGGGTATGCGGATGGAACACATTGAGTGAATGGATAAACTCCTCAAATTCAATAACACCATTCCTCTTTTCATCAAAAAGATCAAAAACCTGGGAGCAAATGCAGGAATCAACTAAATTCAAAGTGGAGACACTACTTTACTTGAATTATCAGATTATGATTGAAGATAGTGCATGACAGAAATACAATATGTGCAGGCATAGTGGTAAACAATTTGAACATTACAGCACTAACTGTATGAAGCTAAAAGGAATTATGAGTGTTTGTAGGAACCCAAAATTTTGAAAACAAGTGTGTTTACATTATTAGTTGCCAAGAGAGTTTTCCTGCTGTTAATAAGCACAGTAACTATCTCTTTCCAAATCTGAATAAAGGCTGAGAAACTATGACAAACTTTTACATCTAGATGAAAGAAAAAATAAATTCCCACATGGAAGAACACTGTGTGCATCGAAGGAACATTGTTTTTCCACAATTTATTAGATGCATCTTTGGGTAACATTTCATTGAAATCGTGACTTGGAAAATTGGGTGTCAAAATCAATAAAGAAGATGCATTAAGATTGTGCAAAACTGGGTGTCAAAATCAATATAGAAGATGCATTAAGATTGTGCAAATCATTACCCGATCCAAAAAGAGGTTCTCACCATAAGGAGCTCTGCATAGTGCAAGCTGGAGTTCTTCCTACACAAGAACAAAATACTATCGGATTAAATAAATCAGCTATACATTGTTTCCGCAAGGTTGGATTCCAACGAGAAGCAAGGCAGCCTAAAATTAAAGATAAAATATGAGAGATTAAATAAATCAGTTAATTATTGCTACCGCAAGGTTGGATTCAAAAGAGAAGCAAGGCAGCCAAGTTAAATAAAAGTCAGCTGTTGACTGGTGCATGTATCTTACATATGTAACATAAAGGTTCTAACATATTCAAAACGGGATTGAACAATTCCAGTGAAAGTGAAGTTGGCCAAAAGATCAGTTTACAATCTTTTCACCTCCCACAGAAAATTTCAGAATGCACCCTACACGCTCAAGGAAGTTGGGCAACTCTCAAAGACAATGAATTAATATACTATTAAAATTCTTAACTTGCTTCCATAAGTTTCTCGTTGCACAGTTGCACTCTCCTTGTTGCTAACCAAATAAGTTCTTCACCAAAAGTTTGAAAAGTAAATTCTTAGCTCTACATACACTCATTCAGGAGCAAACCAGAACTTCGAAGGATCATATACAAAGTGATTGGATAAACATTTCAAATTTTAGTCTCCAACTCAAGTAGTTCTGAAAGTTGGCATTTCTCATTAAAGGAGAGAAGATAAACATTTTGAAAATTTGAGTCATTCAATTCTCATACTGTCACCGCTGATGATTGTAAAAAGGGCAGAAAGAAAGAAAGAAAAGAATAGATGAACGCTGACAAAATCAAATTTCCTGAACTTCAATGGAAAACCACACCTTCAAGTCTACGATGACTTTTTAGCACTGATAAAAAAATCACCATATACATTATTACTGAAGAAAAAGGAAATTCCTGATGAACTTGCTCAAACATGGAATTGCAAAAGCACTTCTGGAATTATCTGCACACACACAAATAGTCCAGAACTTGCTTGTAGAGATAAAATGGCAAGAACTCATAAAATTCTTATAGCAGGAATCCTTTCAATAAATAGGCGTATTAGCACATAAATTTCTCTTGAAAATCCAAGTATATATATATATATAACCCATCAGTAGGAGCTCAGAATAGAATAATATCTAAGAGCTCAAACCTTAGCTGAAAATAAATCATTTCAAGGAAAGTCATACCTTATGTATCAATCCGTCGTCTATAATTGAGCTACTCAACTTCTTAAACAACTCATATAATGCCTCTATTTCATTCACAGCAACTGCAAAAATAAAATTATCCAAAATCTAATTTGTTACCAAGAGAAAACACTAATTCAATCTAAAAAGGTAAACTTATAATTAAATTACACCGAGATTCACTGGCGAGACGACTGAAATCATTATGCTCGCAAATAAATTTCTTCCTGCGGTACGATTGCCTGCACTCAAAACATCCGGACACCGCGAAAATCAATACTTCGCATATTGCTACAATTGGAATCACCAACGCGCAGATCTTCTCCGCAAATCTCAAAGAACTCGTACTCTGGTCCCGTATCCGACACGCAAGAAAAATAATTAATCAATTTAGAAATGCACACATATTACATATAGCAATACATTCATGTATGCTTGTTAAAATTACCAGAGAATTGTTTCTTGAATCCATTAGCACTCAAACAAAAAAAATAATAATAATAAGAGAACAAATTTCACATTTTCTTGAAAGGGGAGGGGTAGAGGAAGTAATAAAGTAGCAGGATCATGCACGTTAGTACACGTGGAAGGTCCAATGTCAACCATAGTGCCTATTCTATCCACTTCAGGAAATTTGTATTAAAATGGAACAAAACATTAATCGTAAAACGTTGTTATGTTTTACAAATAAACCTCGTATATATTTTAATGCGACATTGTTGCTTAATCTTCTGGTAATACGCTTTTATTTTGTTTTGTATTATTTAATACAGAAAATTTGTATTCATTGTCAAACGTTGTTATGTTTTGTAAATAGACCCGTTTATATATTGTATTTAATGCATTATTGTTGCTTAATCTTCTAGTAACATGTTTTTGTTTTATTTTATGATATTCTATTTATATGGACAAGTTTCAAAGAAAAACAAAAGTCAATACTTGTATTTTCGGGTTCATTTTTCCGGTGGATTCATGATTTGGAATTCATCGTATAAGAAGAGGGTAGATGCTTAATTAATTCGCCGAGGCTTTTCACAAAATACTAAGATCGTCTATTAATAAGTTTGTGTTGGAGCCACATTATTTTAAAAATATATATTTTGAAATAATAAATTGATGGACATTATGTAATTAAAAAACAAGGAAAAGTTTTGAATTTACGTGTTATATTATTTTATTGAAAAATGTGTGATTGAAATGATGTCAGATCACTGTTGAAAAAAAAAAAATATATATATATATATATATATATATATTTTAAAGAATGCGACTCAAGCAGAGCCTAAATGTGAAACTTCGAGATAGTTTACATGGTCAATGTGACATTGATTTTATGTAATGCTCAAAGTTTACGAGTTGACACTACATGAAATCACATTTCAATCTTTGTATTGCCTAATGGTGGTTACCATTTTATTAACAAATTAAAGTTGAAAAGGGGTGAAATTATATTTTTCTAATCATTTTTAATTGGCAATGATTGCATGTGATGTCGTGCTTAAGATAAAATAATGAATGCTGGGAATTGCGTGTAAAGTTGATATCCTTATTAGGTGAAACAATATTGGCCAAGTCTCTCTGATGGTATAGATTTGTCATTATTAAAATTTCATGTGGAAACCCAGGGTGTCAGCATTGGCTACTAAAAGTAAAACGTAGAAGTTATTTCGGGCTGTTTTTTACTATTTTTGTACGATCAAAGAGAAAATTATTGAGGTCGCGTTTTTCAAATTTTAATTTCATTAAATTATTATTTTTTTAAAGTCAGGTGTTCACATGATTGTAATTAACAGATCAGTTACATGTAGTCAAAATAAAAAATCATACTCAATCACAATCATTTACTAAACACGTCCAATCACATACCACCTAATTTTAAAAATTTTTATTTGTAAATTAAAAAAACTCATAGACAGGGGATAAAGAAAGATACTTGGTTTATTCGAGGGTACTTAAATCTCTCAATAGAGATACAGTTTCATTCTTGACATTAATTGTAACATCAAACAATACGACGTTATTTCATATCCTTTATAATTGCTCTTATGAAACAAGTTTCTATAAAGCTATATACACTTGAAGTGAAAAAGTCATGATCATGGCCCAGGAGATTATGGGAGCGTGAAACTATTAGAGAATGGATCACTACTCAAATAAATGTATGATGATACTTAAATCTCTCAATAGAGATACAGTTTCATTCTTGACATTAATTGTAACATCAAACAATACGACGTTATTTCATATCCTTTATAATTGCTCTTATGAAACAAGTTTCTATAAAGCTATATACACTTGAAGTGAAAAAGTCATGATCATGGCCCAGGAGATTATGGGAGCGTGAAACTATTAGAGAATGGATCACTACTCAAATAAATGTATGATGAGATGTGTAAACTCTTGATTGTGATGGAAGAAGATACGTAATTGTTTTAAATTCTATCTTCGAGGATAGTTAAACGAGTAATTGGTGAATATTTTTGAAATGTGTACATCAGTCATAAGAATGTATATGTCAACCACAAGAAATAAGAGATAATGCATCCATAATAATGACAAGGGTCATCAGAAATCTTAGAGACTTAGACGCAACTTGAATTGATCATTTTAGAAATTAATCAAAGTTTGGCACATGAAATTCTTTAAAATTCATTTTTCCTAGTAAAATAATTTTACACGTTGACTCATAATTTTTCATTATTTTTAACCACTTATTTTAAAAAATAAATCATTTTTTTACATAATCTATTCTCAAATAATATAAATCAAACGTGCCCTCAATTGTTATCACTAACTTGTAAGAACCGAGCTGCGGTTCACGGCCCCCTCACATCGGGGGGGTTGCCAATTAAAAAAATGGGTGTGGGCCCCCTCTACAGTGAGGGGGCTATAAGTGTATAGCACCAATAGGTGCTGTACAAGTAGGTTAATTGAACTTGTAATTTGACTTGTCAAAAAGAATATAGTTGTTGAAATAGTATAAATTATATTTCTTTATTGCATAATTGCTCTTGAAGGCTAAAGTCATATTCGTAGCCCTTGTGAAAATTGAAGCATAGACTCGTATACGATGGATCAACACTCAAATAACATATATTAAGATATGAAACTCTTTGATTGTGATGGAAGAAGGCGCATGACGGTTCTTGATTCCATCTCCTATGAATCGAAGGAATAATAACTTTTAAATCATACATTTCATTATTTTTTTTTTATGAGAAATTACTAAAAATTTGATGGAAAAACCACCTCAAACCCTACTTTATAATTTTTGAATTAAAAAATCATGTTGTAATTATTTTCTTTCAAAAATTAGGTTTAGTCCCCACCTCCAACTAGAGTTGTAAATGGATCGGATATGGATCCGATCCGATAATTTCATGAATATTTGATTGTTAAATTCATATCCGATTTGCTCTATTATTGGATATCCGCTCTAATAAATTAATCTAAAATAGTTTACATATATTCTTTTTTCCTTTTTTTCATTGGATAATAGATTCTCAATCTCAATACAAAATCTATTATAATATATATTAACTTTACATTGAAATTTGATAGATTTGACATCCTTCATTAAAAATTATAAAGTATAATATAATTTTCAAAATGAAAAAAATAAAATTATATGTAATTAATTATGTAGTAATATATAAAATATATTATGAGCATGTTTGGAAATGATTAAAATCTGATTTTAATCTAAGTTAAAGTCAAACAATCAATATTAACTACATCTTTCATGGATTTCACAACTTTTTTACCATACATTTCAAATTTTTTTATCACAGCCTACTGAAAATCTAATTTTACAAATTGGATTGGATTGACTATATCCATATTTACTTCATTTATTTAACGAGTTATCAGATTCGGATCTTGATCGATTTATCGGATTAAGACTCTAAATCTATCTCTCATTAATTTTATCAAATTTGGATTGAATTCGGAACAAAATTTAATTCATTGATAGGCGTACCTCAAATCCCCTCCCGTTCGAAAACCGACTTTGCTATGGGTACAACATGGTGTCCATTTTGGTGTCCAAAATGGACACCCGGCACCTCGGTATTGGCCGAGGTGCCTGCCAGGCCAGGGCCCACCGGCACCTCGGCCAATAACGAGGTACCGGATGTTCATTTTGGACACCACAATGGACATCATATTGTACCACCAGCATTATTCTTCGAAAACACTCTTATTCCAATTCATATTTAATTTTCATCTATCTAAGTTAGAGAGAGAGAGAGAGAGAGATTTGTTGTGGCAATCGAGGGAGTGCACATGAATTTTAGAGAACGAAAAGCAATTGATTCCATCGACCCCAGATATTCCAACGCCACCCAACTTCGGTTGTTGAGGTTAGGGTCATAAATCATACAAATCGCAAAGGTGCCAACTCGAATTCCAACAACGTCAAAATTTTCATCAGACAACCCTCTTTGTCTTGTTCCGAGTTGGGCTCATCAGTTACATCTACCCAATTTTTTTATTGTGAAAGCTTCGATTCCACGCCGATGGTGGGTGTGGATTTATGGTGGCGACGATGATTTGGATGGTGACAACGACGGTGTAGTATGGCGAGGTGGGGGGAGATAAAGAATAATTGTGATCAATTAATTAACTAATTTTTGATTAACAAATAATTTATGACATATTAGGATATGTAATTTGCAATTAAATACATAATTGTGACTCACAAATTTTATTTTGTAACTATGATCTTGTGTAATTTGTGATTATTATATGACTGTAACCATGACATGTGTATTTATTGTGATCGTGACATATTTGATTAAATATAGGTTACAAATTTTTTATTTTTATTTTTTTCAGATGTCACAAATTGTGACCACTTGATTTTATAAAGTTTTCATCAAGTTTCCTAAATTTGAAAGGGTGTCTTTAAAGTATGGTATTTATGTATTTTTTTTTTTCAAAATTGATTTTTATCTAAAATAAACAGGGGTAATCACATTCCAATCTTTGTATAACTATTGCTAATTGATTATTGATTTTATAAATATTGTTCATATTTGCTATGCATTGATACGACACTATATTTGTTTGGAAAATTGGTGATTTGTGTGTAGATAAATTTATCAATTAGCATAATGAATTAAGTGACATAAACATAATTTAACAATAATATAAAATAAGAAGAGGGTTAAAAAAAACAAGTTTTAGGAGTCACGTCGAAGACGCTATCTTAAAGTCGTGTTGCCTCCCCTTCGTGCGAGTTATTTTGACACTACACGACTCCAAAATAAAACTCGTATAGCTTTCATTCTATGGGTATGCCCATAAGGAGATAAATAACGAGCCTCACATGGAGTCGCTAAAATAGAAATATAGTATAGAATATAGATGTAGTATTTTATCATTCCTTATATCTCAAGTTGTTTTTCTTAATGAAAGAACTCCCTTTTATATGATAAATTTTAACCCCCCACAATTAAACCATTAAAATATATGTTACCATATGATGTTTTAATTTTGTGTTAAAACTTCAAATTAAAATGTTTTAAATTTTGAAAGATTGAAACTTATTTTAAGCTACAAAAATATTCTCATGCATTACCGTCCACCAGTAAAACAATTCAAATATTTGGGATTAACAGT